AAGGAATAGTTGGTATGTTTGATGGCAGAATAAGGATTAAAATTGTACTGACAGGCCAGGTTGTTAGGTCAAAACCTAACAGGTCAAAACCATACACAATTCAAGAGTAATAGAATCTGTATTTAACATAAAAAAAAGTCAACTGTGTAAGTCCAGGGTCAGGGAGCTGATTGACAGCAATTGAGTCAGAAAAGATCAGAGGATTAATTAGCCCAAAGATTAATATGATCCAACAATGGATTGCTTTTTAAATTTTTTAAGCAATTTTAGGCTGCAATAGTAAAGTATTATTTTCAGTTGAAGGGCAGTGATGACCCTAATTCCGTGAGGGGCGCATCACATCTGGAGTATTGTAAGCTCAGCTCTGGGTGAAAGAGTGAGCAATTACATTCAGGAGGGATTTGGAATGCATGTCACACAGGAATGGTCATCAGCACTGGGGATAAATGAGAACAAAATGATAATATTTTGGGGGAATAATAAGTGACCTTCACCTATTTGAAGAGCATTCTGGTGTAAGAGGGAGTAAACCTGTTCTTTGCTGTATGTTTTAGTCAGCTTTTGCCACATTAATGCTTATAACCACATCCATTAACTCACATATCTGCAGGTTACTGGAGTTTGATCTGATTGATACAGGCTTGGCTGGGCTTGGCTCCAAGTTGTGGTTTGGGTTCAGTTTTATTCCATATGTTTCTTTTTCTTAGAGAATTGGTAGGTGCCCCTGGGAATATTTTTCTCACAGTGGCGTAAGAGGCACAAGAGGTCTTTTCCAAATAGTCACATATGTTAAAAGCTTCTGCTGCCATCACATCCACCAACATTGCAATTGCCCAAATCAAGCCAGCCCAAAGTGCAGGGTCAGGAAGATACACTTCATCCACTATAAGGCCATGGGAAGAGAAGCAGACATATTAACATTATAAAGTATTAGAACTAATCAATTCAACTGGTCCCACCCCAGACCAGTAGGGCAAAATTTGGGTCACTGGGCTAAAGTTAGAAGATTGATTGTGGTACAATGTAATGAAAAAATGAATAGTCATTGAAACTGTCTAAAAATGGATGCAAATTTTGCATCCTTGAAATCCCTGTCCCAGAAGAGGTTAGCCAGAGTCCAATGGCTCCTTTCCCAAGAGCATTACAGGTGGAGTTCAGCCTCATCTGAAAACTTAGACCCTGAACCAGTTGATATCTTTCTACATCGAACATCCTACAATTCCACAGTCCTGTTCTACCCCACACCCTTCTCTCCCAGCTTGGACATCCTATGGCTATTTCTCTCTGTTCCCTGCCCTGAGCAGCTTGATTATATATGGCTTATTTGTGTCTCTGAGAGTTTTGCATGAGTATTCCTTGTGTTCCCAAATGTTTTGGAAGCATTTCAGTGGTTCAGGCTGGGTCTTAAGGTTCTTTTCCCTTGTCTATAGCGACTAGCTCAGTGTCAGGCACCAACTTCTTAGCATGGCATTAAACCACCACCCAACACCCAGTCCAGCCCCAAACCATATCTCCAGTCTCATCACTTCTCATACCCTGTGGTCCAGACAAATTGCTCTTCCATATACACATCCTCAGCTTCTCAGGGCTTTGTTCACTCAAACACCATTCTCTCTTATCCTCATAGGTTCAGATACTACCCATCCCACCCAGGACAAACCAAAGGCTACCTACTCCAAAATGTTTTCAGTGATACTCCACCCAGAAAGAAGACTCTTCATCTTCTTAATAGCCCTAACACTTCTCACAAGAAAATGGTTCTCAACCCTAACCCTTTTAGGGTGATTTGGCAATATTTAAAAGATCTATGTCTAGGTCCCTTCCAAAGACGGTCTCATATTATTGACCTGGTGACAGAAGTTCCAGTGTTGATTTAAGCATAAAAACTCTTAGTTAACTGACATAGCAAAGTATATGGAAATAGGTGGCTTCAGGATTGACACAGCAGTTTAATGCTGTCACCACTAACTTAGGCTATGAGTGTCTCCCTGCTTTGTCATTCTCAAGGTAGCAACGTCTTCCCTCATGGTTGCAAGACAGTTGCTGTGGTTCCAAGCATCACATTCTCACAGCAGCATACCAAGCAGGAACAAAGGAGACATGGGAGGAATATTATCATATGTCTCTATTGCCAGAAAAAGAGAACCCAAAGGTTTCCTGCTGACACTTCCTTACATCTCATTGGCTAGAAATGGGCCACACACCCATCCTTGACTATTACTGGAAAAGAAAAATGGGTTGTCCAGATGACCTTTGGATATGCATGATCCATTGTTGGGGCTATATTGCCATGAAAACCTAGGCTGTGAACTGTAAGCAAGAAAGAAGGGGGGATGGTAAATAAGAAGAGCAGTTTGTATACATAGATGACCATGTATGACAGTATGTTTGCTGAGGGAAACATGTCCATGTACACAGAAGCTTCATGAATTTTCCAAGATGCTCCCTAGTCTCCAATGCATTGTCTTAATGCTATTTTTATCCATTTGGAATGCAGGCAGTCCCCATGCCCCATTCATTTGACTTCCAAGGATGATCATTTCCCTGGATCTCCAAATATAAGTCAGGTTTTTACTGAGGCCTGCAGAGCCCTCATAGGTGTAGAGACCATGTAAATATATGCTAGTGTTTTAAGTTCCTACAAAAATGTAACATCCGTGAAGGAAGCCTAGATTAAGCATAGCTAGTATGTAGGATTTTATCTTTCCTTTATCACGAGGCAGGATGGGGCGTGAATGTGCCTGAGAAACCAGAGATTAAATACAGGCCCCAACATTTACGGTCTGTGTGACCTTGGGCAAATTATTTTACCTCTCTGAGTCTTTATTTCCTTACATGCAGCACATGTACTGTGTCCCAGGGATGCTGTGTAGATGGACACTGAGAGCAGCTACAATAATAATAACAACCCTTTCATGGGCGCCCATCCCACATTGGGCCCCGTTCTAGGTATTTTTTTTTTTTTTGGTATTTATTTATTTATTTATTTATTTATTTATTTATTTATTTATTTATTTATT